CCCCAAAACCCCAAAACCCCAAAACCCCAAAACCCCATTTAAGTGCATTTTAGTAGAATTATAAATAAATAAATGGCAAAACTTGTTATTGAGCCTAAGACTGCAAGACTTTACAGAGATACTGAGATGTTTGGAAAAATGGACCCATTCATCAAGTTCAAATGTGGCAGTCAAAAGAAGAAGACCAAAACACATAACTCTGGAGGTAAGAATCCAAGATGGAATGATGTTATTACGATGGGATGCTTTGGATGCAAGAGTCTGACCATAACTGTGTATGATGAAGATACATTTAGTAATGATAAAGTAGGAACCTATACTTTACCAATATCTGAAATCCAAGCTCAAGGAATATATAAAGACTGGATCAAGCTCATGTATAAAGGAAAAGTAGCAGGAGAACTTTATCTTGAAATTACTTATATGGATAAAACCCCAGGAGGTAGTTCAGTGGGAGGAGCTCCAGCAATGTATGCTCCATTTCCAGGAAGTGCTGGAATGTATGCACCCCCTCCTGGAGGTGCAGGAATGTATGCTCCACCTCCTGGAAGTGCTGGAATGTATGCTCCTTCTCCTGCACCTGCAACAGCCCCAACTTATCATGCTCCTCCTGGGGCTCCAACATATTATCCACCTCCAAGTGCCGGGTCAATAGCTCCTCCAGCTACAGCTCCTACCCCACCCTCATTCTCTACTGCACCTCCAGCCTTCCCAGCAGCTCCAGGATACTCAGCAGGATATCCAGGAGGATATTCTCCTGCACCTTCTACGGCTCCAGCTTCTGGACACCTCCCACCTTCCCACGTCTCTGGTTACGCTTCATCACCAAGTGCTCCTATTCAAACAATGCCCTCAAGTGAAGCACCTGCAGAGTCAAATTACTCCTACAGTGCTTTACCAACAACTGGCCCGCACTCTAGTGCTCCAATTCCTGCAGAGCCAATGACCCAGGCACCCCCAGCCACAGGATATCCAAGCATAACCCCCACTGTATACACAGCCGCACCTACTCCTGCGCCAGCACCTACATTCCACAGTCCTCATTATCCAAGCCAGTAAATACCCAGCCTAGATCACAAGAGACTCTCCTCAGCCAAGCAGGTTGGCTGACCAGTCGAGGGCATCCTTTTAAACCTAAAATGCGAGGTTATTCAATTAGGCTTCGAATTAGGGGTTTTGGGGTTTTGGGGTTTTGGGGTTTTGGGGTTTTGGGG